CAGTATCCTAATGCCCTTCTGCTGCTGTAATGTTGAAATTTCCCCAGTGTGGGATGAATAAAGTCGATCTTATCTTATCTTAATTAGCTGATACTAACTGTTGAGTGTCACAATATTTATGAATGCATTGTTAATTAAACTGTTACATTTGCATGGTCTTCTGTTTTCTCAGTGAAGAACATGTGTCTGTACTGCTGGACATCCGCGGTGATGTCTCCAGAGACATCAGAGGGGCCGTATTGGACTTGCTGGAGCAGAGCGCCCCCCCTTTGCCGGCAGGATATCGGCCCATCTTCACTGACATCCTGGTGCCTCCCTCGACCATGGCCTTCTGTCTGCCCACTGCCAAGTGTGCATGACTACGATTGAAACTTTGGCCTGTACTCCATTTTTTTGGATCATCAAACCCAGGTCCCCTTAGCTTGTTGATACACTGCAGAGCAGAAACATGCTGTTGAATCTGTTCCTGCTATATCTCAGGCTATGTTGATGGATGGACAACCTGTATTCTACCTGTATTCTCATTATTTATCCAGGGATAATTTATTTGACAATATGTAACACACATCATTTGTATTGGGAGCCTCTCAGTCCTTGATAGGGATTCATCTTCTTCTCCCTCATCTACAGTTTACAAGAGCTGGTCTTTGCTGGTTCTGGTCGAAGTTCAGAAACACATTTGTTTGAACCTATGATCCACTGGAGCTGATTCGATAACAACAGCTGCATTAATGCAGTAAAACAATATTACGGGTAGAACGGTGTCTGTTACAAGTTGTTGTAAATAACAAAGTTGTTTGTGCTACAGATGTAAAGCAATTTTAAAAAGAAAGAATAGCTGTAATGTTCCTGTTGTCACTCAGAAATCAAGTTTGCCTCAATTTATGACACTCTCAAATAACAGAAAAGCTTTTAATTTGCCCTATTTGACATAAACCCAGAGCCAGCTGCTTCCCGACCATCCACCAGAAATAATATTATTTCTTGAATGTTTTGGGGAACAGTCCCTTTTAGTAACACTGAGCCATTGTATAAGGCACTATTACTGCAGATCTTTCAGGAGCTTGTGACTCCTGGCCAACAGCTGGGAAACCTTAAACCAGACAGTCACACATCTTTACTGGACTTTGAGGTTGGCACATTATCACTGAAGAACCGTCTCATCCGTTCGTATATATGATGCACAGTTTTATAGCATAGTGTTCAGCCTGATGGTCATGGTGTATGTATCTAGACAGAGAGGTGTAAAATTAAATCAGAATGAAACGTCATTGTGCTCATTTCTTGTGTCATTTCACAGCATCATGTATATATAGAGAAGATAGAAGCTCTTAAAGCGCATTGATGCTTTTTTGGGAGAATTGAAGAGATGAAGATTGTTACATGAATTACAATGTACAGTATTCAGCAGGGACTCTAGGACTGTCAACCATCCTACCTGAAGAACTTATGCTGCTGATTCATCCTATAAATCTCTATCTCTAAGTTTTTCATTAATCTCTCTCCTTCTCTTCTTTTATTTTCTCCAAATTTACCAAGTACCATTGTTTTTATTGGATGTTTTAAATCAGATTGTTTTTAAAAGTATTTATTGTATATATGTGTTTCCTAGTGGTATTTCAAAGGATATTTAGCTTTTATGGTTTAATGCCACATTGTAAATTGCCTATAAATGTACATAAATGCTTTGAAAAGTAAAGTCAATTATTTGATTGAATATGATTGCTTCAAGTTAATGATTGTCCTGTTTATTGTCTTAATTATACTTATATTCCCTTTAAAAAATGTTATATATGTACACACATACACATGTATATACATATTTATTGTAGGTTTGCATGTAGGAAATGTCAGCCTCTGCTAACATACTATACAATAGATATCATGCTGTATACACAACCAACCAATAAATCACTCAACTTTTTGAATTAATTTAAATTTTATTCAATCACACACTTTCCCAACCATTAAACTGAGCATCTTCTCACATTCACAAAGGAGGTGAGAAAGTGTCCGTTGGTTTGTTTGTTACTCAAAAAGCTGAACAAAAATGGATCCAGACAAAGGGGCAGAGCCACGATAGTTTTGGGGACTTTTACTCCAGATTTCCCAGAGAACAATTCATGGATCTTGATTAAAAAACAGGCATATTTAGGGGACTGACATCTATGATATGAGTTTTTGCAATTTATTGTGGCTTGATTGAATTCAAAGGGACTGGTGGAAAGATCTACTGAGTGTAGTTCTAGTTTTAACAAGTAGAAAACACAAATGCAGGCAGACTCAAGACAGGACATAGTGCTGGATATAACACAGACCAGGAGCTGACAGACAAACAAGGAGCAGCGAGGAAAGAAAACATGAGAATATAGGATAATTATATATATCCAGAATGAGGTTTGGGCACACAGGGCTGAATGGTGCATGATACACCATGAAGATCTGTCCCAGGTAGAGACAGGCACTGAAGACACACTGGATATCAGAGACATGCTGCCTCAGTGAGTGCAGATACACAGATATATTCAGATTTTATATTGAAGTCCTTCTGCTCCACACTCCTCTCCAGGAGGGGGCGGTAACGCACCTCAAACTCGTTCTCCAACCCTTTAGAGAACAGACGAAGAAGAAGAGTTTCTGACGTCTGTGAGAAAGATGGCCGCCTCCACTGCAGCAACGCTTCCTCTGTGAATCAGTGTGTTTACCGACGTGTGTAGACTATCCCGTCAGGAGACAGGGTTTATATTCAGCGTGTCACGGCTCAGCGGGGCGTCAGAACTAATGAAGACCTTCTGCGGCAGAGCTAACCCGACCACCGGGGCCCTGGACTGGGTGGAGGAGAGTGAGGAGTACGACTTCCACCAGGAGATAGCCAGGTAGAGGAGGAGCTGATGCTGGAGCAAGTCATGGAGAACTCCCGTTCAGTCATAAACACACAGTGTGATGTGTGTGTGTGTCTGTGCTGAAGTGGTAGCGTTGGTGCTTCATTCCTTGTTTACTGTTAGTTCTGTAGCTTAGAGAATGTATTTTGATGTTCAAAGCACACTGCTTACTCTAAAAGAAGCTCTGAGAGTGAAAATGTTGAATGGATTGTCATATTTATTGTTCTTCTTGTTAGTGAGTAGTTTATAAAAAAGAATCCACAACCTGGGCACTTCAGGGGCCAAACACAATTCAGCTGCTGGATCCGCCCTGTGTTCATGTGACATGCATCAGGACTTGGTCCAGTTCCCAAAAGACCTCAGAGACTTAGAAGCTTAGACTTGATTTGAACTTGACCTTGATATTTGGTTTGTCTCTTGGGTCTGTGGCTGTGTCATGAGACACATGCACGCGTTCTGATCGCAGCGTGTTTATCTTTCAGGTCCTGTTACGCTGACATGCTGCATGATCGTGACAGGGTAAGTTTTGGAGAACAACACTGACTGCACGCTACACTTTCTTTATGAAGTATGAACAAGCAGTCAGCCTTCCCATAGCACAGCTGACGTCCTCACTCCCTTTCAGAATGAGAAGTACTACCAGGGGATCCGGGCGGCTGTGGCCAGAGTTAAGGCTCGTGGTGAGAAGGTCATCATCCTGGACATTGGGACAGGGACGGGTCTACTGTCCATGATGGCCCTCACTGCTGGTGCTGACTTCTGCTATGCTGTAGAGGTACACATACTCCTCTTATATGTGCTTTAATGAATACTGTAGTTTAGCACGGCCAAAAACTTCTCCCTCATTTTTGTGTCTCTGTGTCAGTGACAGCCGTGGCCATCACGTCTTCACAGTCTCACAATTTTCTGACCTTTATTCCACACTATCACTTGGGAATGGAAGGGGAGAGGTTGACTACATTTCATGTTTGTGGATACTCAGTTGGTGACACTCAAACAAACAAAAAGGTCACTGTCTCTCAAAACATCTTTTTGGCTCAATTAATCCATTTTATTTGTATAGCCCATATTCCCAAATCATAATTAGTTTCAAAGGGCTTAACAAGCTCAACATCCTCCTTAACCCTCAACAAGAGTAAGGAAAAACTACCAAAAAAACATTCTAACAGGAACAAAAAGGTAGAAATCTCATGAGACCCACAAGTAAGAGGTCACTCTCCCAGGACGAACAGAAGTTCATTAGAAAAGACAGGGTCTAACATGAATGGACCTGTGTATCACTATTTACAATATTTATACATAAGAGAATGTTTGATGAAGATGAAGGGGACAGTATTGAGAATTGTAATGATGGAGTTATTGCCAGTACTGGTAGTATATGTTAGTAGGCTTATTATAAATCTAAGCAATCTAGTTGTAATAATAATCCATGATCAGTTGCCACGGTGATCACAATCCATGACGTGGCTACAGTCATGATCCTGGATCTACAGCGATAAAGCACGAGGACCACAGGGAAGAAATCAAGTCAGTAACTACTATTGATGAGACATTAATATGATGAAGAGGACAGAGAAGCTCCATGTGGCATGTGTCCCCCGACAATCTGGACCTATAGCAACATTACTAAGAGCTGGTTAAAGACCTGAACCAGCTCTAACTATAAGCTTTATCATAAAGGAAGGTTTTAAGTCTACTCCTAAAAGTAGAGAGGTTGTCTGCCTCCTGAACTGAACCTGGGAGATGATTCCACAGGAACTCAAATAAATGGATTCACTTATTCAATATGATACAAAACCAAAAACATTTGAGCAGCTGGAATCAGGGAATGTTCGGCTGCTTTGATGGATAAGTAGCTTTTGTTTATCTACTATCAAAACTGGTGGAGATGAATCTTCTGTCTTTCTACCTGTGGCCAATCGATGAACCAGCTAATCATTCTGTCCCTCAGCAGAAAGAGTTTCAGGTGTCCTCTCTGTTTCCTTTGTGGCTGCAGGTTTTTAAGCCCATGGCTAAAGCAGCTCAGTGCATCGTGGAGAAGAACGGCTTCTCTGACAGGATCAAGATTATCAACAAACACTCTACTGATGTCACTGTGGGGCCTGGTCAGAGACTAAAACTACACCTACACACACACGGACACATGCACACCTACACACACACCTCGGGGACACACAGACACCAATACACACACTCTGAATATTGTCATGTGGTCGTGTCTCTGTAGTTGATATTTGTCAGAGGGAATTTTGTCGGCATTCTCATGAGAGGTTTTGTATTTGTGATTTATTACAGATGGGGATATGCAGATGAAGGCCAACGTCTTAATAACGGAGCTGTTTGATACAGAGCTCATAGGTGAAGGAGCTCTGCCCAGCTATGAACATGCTCATCAAAACCTGGTCCAGGTGTGTGTGTGTGTGTTCACTTGTATCTTTCTATGTTACCATGAGTCAAAAGAGTGAAATTCACCAACAGTGTTCGTGTCCCTCCGACCCGCAGGAGGGCTGCGAGGCTGTTCCTCATCGGGCCACCGTCTACGCTCAGCTGGTGGAGTCTGAGCTGCTGTGGAGCTGGGCCCAGATGCAGCCGGTGGAGGTGGAAGGAGCCCGTCTGGTCCCGCCGCCTGCGGTGGGCCGCTGTGCTGGAGCCCATTCAGTGTGTGACATCCAGCTGAGCCAGGTGTCCCCAAACAGCTTCACCCCGCTGGGTCCGCTCTGCACCATGTTCAGGTATGACAAGGAGAAAGATGAGAACTCTTCTACGCTGTTTTCTAGTAACCATTTTTCCTCACATCTTACTTCCCCTCCTCCTGCGCCCCGTCTTTTCCCTCTCAGTGTGGATTTCAGTAAGCCTGTGAGCAGTGCCTTCCAGTACCACTCCTCCCAGTTTGCGGCACAGTCCGGCGGTCGTGCCCAGGTGGTCCTGTCCTGGTGGGACCTTGACATGGATCCCAGTGGAAGCATTGTATGCACAATGGCTCCCAGCTGGACATACACACAGCCAAAGATGGCTCCGGTGAGTTACAGGACATAAAGTCATGATGCTGGGATTCAGGCTCCCATCGCCCCTTTGTTAATGCTGTGGTGTGTTTCAGTGGCGGGACCACTGGATGCAGAGTGTGTACTTCCTGCCTGTGGAGAGGGGGGTGACGGAAGGAGAGGAGCTCAGTCTGACTGTCTGCCATGATGACTACAGTCTCTGGTACAGTCTGCAGGCTCCCAGGTGAAACAGCTCAGATACAACATACTGTATTTTTCCTGCTCTGCTGTAAGGATAGATGAATCTGTGCCTCCTGCCTCACTGAATACTGACACAGTAACGCTTGTTTTGCTAACCTGAGGTGAGAGGCTCCTCGTGTACTTCTCCTTGGCAGTTGTGGGAACTTTCAGTGGTATCACACAATCTCCAGTACCTGTCCATCTTTCACTGAATGAATTACAGATAAACAGTAAATGCTCTGTATCAAACATTCACATCTGTGGGATATCTGTGAACGGCGCAGCCATCAGGGCCAATCTGGGGTTCATTATCTCGCCTAAGAACACTTAAGTAAGCGGAAGGGAGGACTGGGATCGAACTGCCGACCTTCTGGTTAGAGGACGACCCAAATAAACAAATATCTCCTGTTGACAAAAAAAGTAGAAGACAGACGAAGATGTCAAGAGAGTTTGTAGTGATAAGAGCTGACACCGTGTCTGTGTGTTGTTAAGAAAATCATGTGATCTCTCACTTCCTGCGTGCTG